TGAGTTCTTCTCGTCAACTGTTACGCAAGCTTTGGAAATGAGGTACTGCTGCAGCATGTTGCACCAGTGGTTTGTTCCTCTCTTATCTTCTCTTCCCTCTATTCAAGTCTTTTATTTGCCTTGCGCATCTACGAAGTCAAATTAAAATATTTAAGATAATAAATGAACAGAAGAGGCCAACAAAAAAGAGTAATAATCCGAGAAATGATTAGGTGCTATGCTAATATTTTAAGGCCGTTTGATAGCAATTTTTTTTATAAAAGAAAAAAATCCAAATATGTGTTAACCATTTTTTTGTCTCTTTGTTTTTAAAAAATTAGATAGAAAAAAATTGGAGATACGTTGGAAGAAAATAGGTTAGAAAGAAAAATAAAAGTTATAGCGAAATTTGAGAAAGAAAAATGTTTTAAAATGTTTTGAGGCAATAATAAATACTTAAAAGAGAGAAAAATGAGAGTGTAAAAGATGGAATTTTAGAGAGGTAAATTTTTTAGAGAGAAATTTTGGTAGGAAAAAGTTTTAGTGAAAAAAGTTATTAGAGAGAAATATGTCGAAAGGAAAAATAAAATATTGAACATTAGGAAAAAAAGAAATTTTGAGGTTGAATTGATTATCAACTAAATTCTTTTTTTAAAAACTAAAAATAAAAAATAAAAAATAGAAAACAAAATAGTTCGGAAAAAACGTTATTAAACGGTTTATTAGCCATTGAAGCTCTAATTGATTAAAGTATGTTAGAAATCTTCTTGTATTAAATTTTTGACAAGTAGAAGAAAATAACACAAAACGAAACTAAAGATTTTCTCCTCCAGTCAATGAACATATTGATGTATTAGATAGATTTATTCAATACCATGCATACAATTCAAAAAATAAAAAAAATAAACTTTTTGATGAATTAACAAACAATTATTTCACTAAACTAAAACCAAAAAGTAATAATAAACTAAATAGTTGGGTAACACCTAAATTTTTCGACTAATCTGAATATAAATCGATTGATTAAGACATAAAATAATTTATCTATCCCCTGCTTCTCTATTTTCTTCTCGCTAATTAAAATTTCTTTTTTTCCTTCCTCTCTAAAATTTCTGTAACCTTTAATATTTTTCTCTATAAAACTTTTCTTTCCTCCCAACTTATCTCTCTCTATAATTTCCCATCTCTAAAACTTCATCCCTATAACTTCTCTCTTGGACTTTTTTCTCTCAAAATCTATCATTCATGATTTATTCAATATTTTAAAGCTTTTCAATTCATGCGAATAACAATTGCTATATTTTTATTGGCAGGTGCTGTCAACTACAATTACTATGGAGCTCAATTTCTTACTCTTCATAATCTCCTCTTAAAGTTTGAACCTCCGTTGACCATATTAACATTGACTACTAGAAGCTCTAGGGAAGTAACAGATTTATTTCAAGCTCATCCGGAAGAGGAGGATAAGAAACATTGACGAACAAATGTCATTAATGTTCAGCCAACACCCAATTTGATATGTTAGTCCAAATTGTTTAAATGGCAAAAATAAAGAAAATTCAACACTGATATTATGTGAAAAATATGTAGCAAATGAATTATAGAGCTATTGAATGGACCAATGATATTTGTTCAACAACACTAATCTTCAGATGACTATGTTCTAGTTGGCCAACATTATATATATTTTGAAAGGTTTTTAACTTTTGTTATTGACTCTTATTTTCAACAAAAATGTCAACAAAAATGCCGTATTACTTCTACATAAATAGAGTGTCAATATGGAAATCAAAGTAAATAAATATTTTAAACTCTACAAACTTATTTTCTAACTCAAATTTTCATTTTTGTTAAATGTTAACATTTCAAATAGCAACACATGCATTTTGTTTCTATTCTCAAAGATTAAAAAACAACCAGAAAAAAAACAAAAACATTGTTTCATTCTTAAAAACAACAAATAAAAACGAAAACATATTTAATTGTTTTTAAAAAATATTAAAAGATAAATAGCATTAAGAAAAATATAAACTAAAAGCCTACACCACGAAATTTCTCCCATCGATCTCAATCGAAGATAGCCCGGGTAGAAACTAAACTATAAATAGCATACGGGTTGCTCAATTTCACAAAGGGGTGAGGCACGTGTTTTAGGTCCTTTAAACCCAAGTTCAAGGATCATGATCCTTCAAATTCGCCTATTTTTAATGTATTAAGCAAAGAGACCATGGAAATCCATACTTGCATGGAAGGCAACAGAAAAGACTTAAGATCCATACTCAATGCTATTAGAATTTGACACCGTAAAAATGACGATAATTTTCCTTGCACTAAAATGATATCCAAATCTACGTAAAAAACTACCCTTTTCTCTTCGGAGGTTTAATTTTCAGAAGAAACATGGAGGAAATTTTTGGGGTGATTGATGGCAGATTTAGAGTGTCGATAGTAGATTCAACCATGATGTCAATTGTGCATCGCGCAATGGATAAAGCCCACGGAAGAGTCAAGTCTAGAGAAGGGGTACTAGAGAGACTACATGAGATATCAAAGTTTTACGAGTTGTCAGTAATGCAGTTGGATGGCTGTATCATGTTCGTTCAAGAAGAAACCGACAGTCACAATCCAGAGAGCGGCCACGAAGAAGTGCTTGCTGGGCTGGCCGAAATCAGAAACCGCCTCCAACGCCGCCTCTATGAATCAGAGCTCGCCATCCTACAGAAGGATAGGGAGTTGAGAGATCGATTTGAGAGCGAGTCGAAGTTAAGGCAGGCTTTGGAAATTACGGAGAGAGAATTGGTTTCTTCGCAAGAAGATCTTGAGATTGAAAGAACAAGGAGTGCAGGGAGTTCCAATCTCAGCCATCAGTCAGGCGAAGATGACAATAGAGATGGAGAGTTCTGTGAGCTGAAAGATTCGGTGGATCGACAGGTTTGGAAGATCAGAGAGAAACTCGAGGTTGATGATTATGAGCCTGAGGAGAACAAACGGAATCACTGTATGAACGATGTAAAAGTTGAAGAGGTGGGATCTGACATTGATATGTTGAAGGAAACGCTGGACATGGCTTTTGGAAAGATGCAGAGTGCCATTTTCTATTCGGAGATGGGACCAATAGAGCAGCAAATAAAATCTAGTATTGAGAATGACATAATATCTATAAATCTCAGGGGATTTGTGAGAGATTCCCAAGAGGATTTAGAAGCAGAAGTGAGAAGGAAAGAGAAGCAGCAAATTTCCGTTTCGTTGAATGAACATTGGACAGATTTAATGAATGAAGTTACAGGCTTGTGTGAGGATCTCAAGCCTCTCATCATTAGGCAAAATGAAACGCAGCCCCAAGATGGAGAAGAATGCGACATTTCGGATTTTGGGTCAAGATCACCAAAAAGAGAGAAGAATTCTGCAGAATATGGGATAAATATAAATGAAAAGGAGCTAGAAGATGAGGGAAGCCATGATGTTGCTAAGATGATAGAGAACCACGAGTCGGTAATTTCGGAAAAGAGTGCAGAAGCAGAAGAACAGATTCGATTGAGGCAAGAAATTTTAGGCCTGTCATCAAGGAGAGGGGGAAATCCTGTAAGCCTGGAAAGTAGGATACAAAGAGTACTAGAAAAACAAGAGAATATAATTATTTTGAATGCTAAGGTTAACAAAATTTTTGGCCAGCATGGAGATGTTAATGAAGAAGACATTCCTCTAGAGAGAAAGGAGCAAATATTTACAGAAACTGATAGGCAGAAATCAGATGTTGATACTTTGACAGATGTATGGGGCAAGATGCATAAACTGCAGGATGAAGAAATCACAGGACAAATACGAAACCAAATAAGCATGTTAATGCAAGAGAGAGAGGAGAAAGAATTTCAAAACATAATGATGGAGGAGATTTATATCACTATATTCAAAGGTTTGATAGAAAGGTTTGGCAATAATTTGAGGAGTTGGGAATTGGAGATCCAGATTTCAGATGGTATATGCAGAGATTTCATTAGGAATATGTTCAATCAGCAGAATGAGGCCATGGAAAGTTACAAGATTGAAGTCCACATAAAAGATGACATATATTATGGTATATGCAGAGATTTCATCAGGGATGTGTTCGATCAGCAGAATGAGACCATGGAAAGTTACAAGATTGAAGCCCACATAAAAGATGATATATATTATGGTATCTGCCGAGATTTCATTAGGGATGTGTTCGATCAACAAAATGAGACCATAGAAAGTTACAAGGTTGAAGCTCACATAAAAGATGATATCTATTATGATATATGCAGAGATTTCATTAAGAATGTGTTCGATCACCAAAATGAGACCATGGAAAATTACAAGATCGATGCTCACATAAAAGATGATATTTATTATGGTATATGCAGAGATTTCATTAAAAATGTGTTCGATCAGCAGAATGAGACCATGGAAAGTTACAAGATCGAAGCCCACATAAAAGATGATATGTATTATGGTATATGCAGAGATTTCATTAAGAATGTGTTCGATCAGCAGAATGAGACCATGGAAAGTTACAAGATTGATACCCACATAAAAGATAATATATATTATGGTATATGCACAAATTTCATTAAGGATGTGTTCGATCAACATAATGAGACCATGGAAAGTTACAAGATTGAAGCCCATGTAAAAGATGATATATATTATGTTGTCTTAAACGAGGCAATGAAAGGTTATTGCTCGACATATGACTTGAGAGTAGCAAGAAAAACTGAGAATGTGAAGGATGAAGACCTATATTTGGAAGGTTTGACATCTGACAATGACCTTTCTCAATGTTCAGAATGCGAAATAAGGTCGGAAATTTATGGAATCCCTTTTGCAGTAATGCTAAACGAATGGCAGAAAAGCATAGGAGAACATACAACCGAAAGCCTTCTTAAAGAAGAGGTATCTTGGTTCGTCTTTGGTGAGACGATCAAAAGTATCACTTACAAAGCCAATCAGTGTCCAGATTCCCGAATTACAATTGAAGAAGATGTCTGCTCAGTTTTCTATAGGGAAATGGTTAGGGAATGGGAGGAGAAAATAGAGGCATGTAACTTGGAAAATTCAATTAGGGAAGAAATTTGTTATGCTGTTCTTATTCAGGCAGAAAGAGAAGTCCGTAACAGATATAAAAGAGCTGATGTCCCAATTCAGGACAGTGATGCTGCAGAAAAGCCACCATCTAGGAAAAGACGAGATAAAGGATTTTCTAGCTTGGAAAGTTTGGTTCAAAAACTAGATTTACTTTCAGAAGGCATTGATGTAGATGAAAATTTGGTGCTCAGTGCAAGTTTTGAGATAAAGGATTATAATAGTAATCTGAAACTTGTGGTCTTTGAATGTGGGTTTGATGAAAGTAAAACTACTTTTGTAGAGTCAAAAGTCATTGAGTGCATTCTCGCTTCTTTGAGTAATAAGCTGGAGAAAACTATGGAGCAGATTAATAACAATAAGTTAATTCTGCGAAAGTTGAAATCTAGCTTAGAAACTATAGTTAGTCAACCAGAAAAAGATTGTCTAATTTCTCCTGTTCAAGAAAATGTACCAGATAGAAAGCTCTGGTTATCAGAAGTTCATGGTGTGCAGCTAAACAAGTCAGATTCTGAGTGCCTAAAACTTCTGGAGCTTCAACATATTTTTTATAATTTCGAGCTGATGGCAAATAAGAAATTGGGAGCAATAGTACTGAGGTACTGACCTCATAGCCCCTTTTTATGGTAAAGTTTCATTTGATCTTCCGGAGCCAAAAAAAAAAGAAACAAAACTGAAGCATACTGCACTTGCACCTGTTTTCAGACCAAATAGCTTAAAGAAAATTTACTTCCTCAAGCACAACTCCACAAACAAATAATTGGAGAAAATTTTTTTGTTTAAAGGAAATAAATGTAATCCATGTTTACCACTGACAGATTGGAAGAGATGAAGCATACTTTGGATCCACTTGCTCAAGTCATGGCTTCTCTGCAAAAGAAGAAATCATTATATAAGAAGGCTTTCATCAGTAGATGCCAAAATCTCAGAAAAGCTGAAAATGAGGTTTGTTAGAATCCATATAAATGAATTAAATTTACCCAACCCATCAGCTTAAGCTTTTGGGTTGAGTGGTGGTTTGTTCATCCTTAAGATGGTATCAGAGCGGGAGGTCCTATGTTCGAACCCCTGCATTGCGTTTCCTCCCCATTTATTTTGATTTCCACTTGTTGGGTCTTGATGTTGTTTTCCAAGCCCACAAGTGAGGGGGGGTGTTAGAATCCATATAAATGAATTAAATTTACCCAACCCATCAGCTTAAGCTTTTGGGTTGAGTGGTGGTTTGTTCATCCTTTAAGAAGGTTCTACTCTCAATTTCTAATATAGATGTTTCTCCCTAATTGCATATTCCCACACCTTCAAAAAACATCCAAGTTCAAATTTATTTTTGTCTTTTAATTGTCTTCCCATATTTCCTATCTGATCTCGGTTATAGGTGGATCTTCTAGGGGATCAAGTGGATATATTTCTTAGCTTGATTGAGAAGATATACTTGATTCTGAATCATCATTCACCAGTTTTGCAGCAGTATTTTGATGTAATAGTTCCCCACGTCTATTTTCTTTATTCTAGGTCGTCGAAATTAACTTGCCTTATGTTTAACTGTTATCTTTCTCAATGTCTCTGCAGGTCTCAGAAATTCTTAGGTTGATCAAGAAGGAGGTAGCAGCTACTGTTTATACACCAACTGAAAAATTAGATACAAGCTATGATGTTTGACCCAACCTTTTGTATGTTTCAAAACCAAGAAACTGTAGCATGAAATCTATTTAGAAGTAGATGATGTTTCAGCAACGGCAAAAATTACTAACTAAAAAGATTTGGTGATATAGGTACACCAAAATTTCAAGTACGTGCTTCTCTGGAGGCAAAAAAATAAGTTAACGATAGGATATCAAAGTTTTTAAGGCCTCCTTGGGAAATCTTTGCATAACTTTTTTCTAACTTCAATTCGTTTTTTCTTAAACCAACTTGGAAGAACTTTATCTGTAATCCCCTTCGCTCTAGAGCAACTGAACATTCCTCTGTATTTTGCTTCAACTAATGAAAATTTCCTTTGTTTCCTTAATACATGTATGTCTGTGTCATGTGTGTATTTTTTTTTTAACTAAGCATGTGAACCAGCACAAACTATTTGGAAGGTTTCCTTACAGTGAAGAAGCACATAAAGCAGTATAATAATCAAAAGAATGCTTGGGGGGTTTCAACTAGCTCAGCATTTTTGCCCTCACTTGAATTCGGATTTTCCTTTGGACTCTCTTCTATAGAAGGCTGAACACTGCTGACAAACTCCAAAGGAAATTCCCTCTATGGGCTCTTTCCCCCTGTGTGCAGTATGTGTATGAAAAATGAAGCATCGGTGGATCATATCTTTTTGCATTGCTCTTTCGCAGCGAAAGCTTGCGGGGTTATCGCTTCATTTTTGGATCTTTCTGTGTATTCCTAGCAAAATAGAGGACTTTATTTCTGAAGGCTTTGGTGGAGTAAAACTTAAGGGTAAGGCCTCGGTTCTTTGGAACTTTGTGGCTCGGGCGCTTCTCTGGCATATTTGGAAAGAAAGAAACAGCCGTCTTTTTGAAGATAAGTCGACCTTTATTTATTCTTTTTGTTTGAATATATAGCATATTGCTTCTTGGTGAGCTTTATCCCATAGGAAGGTTTTTTGTAATTACAATCATTCTTTTGCTTATTCTTTTGTTTTATAAGAAACCTTTGATCCAATCTTGCAAAATCATAGAAAGGCTGTAATTACAAAAGTTTGTGCCTATAGCACCACCAAGAAGAGTGTAACTGTAGACTATTACAAAACATATCGACAAAAGAGGACTTATCTTAAAAAATCCTAGAATTCCTCTCCATCCAAAAATCTTCTTTTGCTTATTCAAGATTGGAAAGCAAGTGATTGTATAGAGTTCAGGGGAGGGTTTCCTCTACCCTCCACCTTTAGGCTGCCTTTTTTTGGGCTCTTCTCTTTGAATACAAGTACTTTGTTTCTTATAAAAAAAATATAATCAAAAGAATGCCTATAACTACTTTTTGCTCATTTTTGTTATCTTGATTAGTCAGAACGGTATCTTCAACAAAACCTATAATTCCATAAATATCAACATGTATACAGACTACATCAAATTGGAGACCAATTGAGAATTATACAAATGCTGGAAAAATATTAAAGAATAACTTAAACCTACACGGAATTAAGACTGAAAAAATAAACAGTAAGATACCGAAAAGTTGAAAATAGCGACTCTTAAAATTTTTAGAAAATTAATAAGAAAGATTACAGCATGCATTAAAGGAAAAAGTAGGGAAATAGTTTTATTTAAGATATTTTAGAGAACATTACAGCTAGAGTGCTTCTAACTGCATGTAACAATCTGTAAATGAACAGAACTGAAATTCAGATGACAATGTTGTTAAGCGGAAGCAACTCGATTCTTGAAAGTATAATAATAAAAATTAACAAGACAAAAAATATATAAATCCAAAATTTCAAAATTATATTTCATAAAATTGAAAGAAACTAGGAAGGACGAAATTCAGCGAAGAACAAGAAGTTCGTTAGATAGATAGAAACCGCCGCTGAAGAATACCGATTCACATTTTCTGTTCAGCTAACTATTCAATTCACACATCAATAAAACCACCCCTGACACAGAATCGTTTTCAAAATTACAATTACTACAGATTAAAAAGATTATCCAGAGATTAATCGAATCGAGGTACTTTAAAACTAGAAACAAGTCGAATGAATCAAGGCTAACCTGATCTACGAATAAAAAACTTTTAAGAAACCATTTGAAACTGAACAAACACGATCATTAATTTAAGAAACTGTAACACACTGTGCAATCACGGCCATTGATCAAAATCGTACAGCAATTATGGATTATGAGACCTAGCAACTACAATTATCGATTAAAGAAGAAACAATTTGATTTTCTGAAAGGTAAATCACTGACTCGTGCAATGTTATCCGAAAAGATCTTTCATCTGATTCGAAATACCTCTTTGCCTTTGCTTGCGAATTACGTTATCGTAAGCCACCACTTAGAAGTTCGAACCACAGTAACCACAACCATCGTGCTTCTCGCCAGAGCAATTTCATGAACTTTGAATTCTTCGCGCGCAAGTTTTGTCACGTTCAGCTTGCTTCCGAATTGTTCCCCGCTCTTGCCTTTATATAGAGTCTTACGGCTACCGGAACGGTTGCGTTTTTTTGACGGAGGACAAAATGGTAAATCGATCTGACTCAGTTTTACGCCGATACCGGAACGACGGCGTTTGACAGTCAAAAATCTGTCTGCGTATGTTTTACCCAGGTAATGCAACGGTGGCGTTTTGCGTCACAGTCAATAGACTGGGTGGGACGCAATATTTAGAATATTTTTTACGGAAGATAAAATGGTAAATGGGTCTTCGCCTGTTTTACTCAAGTGCTAGAAAGGGGGCGTTTTACATGCCAGAGAGTAGGGTGGATCATAACATTAGAAACTTAATGGGCTTAAAGAAGCCCAGTTAAATTTTACTCACGGAAGCTGAACTCAAATGGCATACTACCTAGGCCCGGCCCAAATAGTCCTTACCCATGCGATGTATTAATAACATTTAGTACACATTATGCTATTGAAATTGTTGTTTTTCTTTTGTTAAAAATAGTGTTTTTTGTTATTAAGATTTTGAGTAAAAATTTTAAAAAATGTACATGAAATGTGTTTAAAAAAAATATGGTATTAATTTTCAAAAGATAAAAAACAAAAAATAATTAAATCATCAACTATGAACTACCTTAATATCATAGATTGACATGGAAAATATACTTCTTTTTTTTTTTTGAATAACATGGAAAAGAGACCTCAAAACTTTGGGAGCAAAAGTTTAAATCCTATAGTGGCCAAACATTGGATAAAATTAGTGTTTCTTTATTTTTACTTTTTATTATTAAATCAAGATTCAAATATTACATTAACTTCTTGTTTTCTTCTTCTTTCATGCAAACATCCCAACAAAAATTTAGAATAATTTCTTAAAACTTTCTTTGTCCAAAAAAGGAAAAAATTCCCACAACTAGTAGAAAACTATTCTTGAGATATAACTCCCAAACAAACCCTAAAGCCGAACAAACACTTTGCCCATTGAGTAAAAACCCTCCAAACTTTCATTTATTAAATCGACATTAATTTTGTATTATTGCTCTTCAATTCCAAGATCCGATTTAATTAGAGGGAAGATTTGGCCTCTCCGGCGGGTCACTCCCCTCCGGCCGCCGTCGTAGGGCCATCTCCGGCGGCCCTGCTTCTGAGCCACTCAACCATATCACCAAAAACTTGCTCAACATCCTCTTTAGCTTCTCCAATCAATTGGTGCCACATACCTGGATATATCTTCAGCGTCTTATCTTTGCTGGCGGCGCGTCTGTACAGCTCCTCCACGCACGCCGGATCGCAGACCACGTCGTCGCCGCCGTGCACGATCAGAAGCGGAATCTCCACCTCGCCGAACTTCTCTTGCAACTCCTTGCACACTCTCATCAGCTCCTGCGCCGTCGCCGCCCGAGGCCGCATCACCACACGCTGCGGGCTCGCAACCGCGAGCTTCCGCTTCCAGTCGACCTTGAAGGACACCTCCGGTATAGATCCGCGCGTGGGAACCACGCGCCACGTCGGAAGCAGAGCGGCGGCCAGGGAGAGGAAGTGCTCCAGAGGCCACGGCGGTTTGAACTTGGCGCTGATTCCGCACATCGCGCCGTTGAGAACGACGCCGTTCCACGGACGCGAGCCGCCGCTCCCTTTCTGGCGGAGCGTGATGAGAAGCGCAATCGCGCCGCCGAGCGACTCGGCGTAGAGAAAAGAAGGCAGCGACGGCGCGTGACGCTTACGAAACGCGTCGAAGAACGCGATACAGTCGTCGACGACGGGGTTGATGTCCGGTATGTGGTACAGGAGGCCGTCGGAGAATCCGTGGCCCTGATGATCGATGGCGCAAGTGATGAAGCCGGCCTTAGTGAAGTGCACGGCGGTGAGCTGAACGAGCCAGCTGGACTCGCCGGTGTAGCCATGGACGACGGCGATGATTCCAATGGGCTTGATCGGAGCTAGAGGGCTCCACCACTGCGTAAACAACTTAAGGCCTCTGGAATTGGTGATGAATTCGGAGCCATGGCTCACAGAATGGCGGGCGTAGAATTCGTCGGCGGTGAGAGAGCCGAAGGGGCTCCGCTCGTCGGCGTCCTCCACAGGGTGAACCATTTCCGGTGAGAAGTTGCCGGAGAATTGCAGAGAAAATTGGGGAGAGTACTAATTATTGGCCTTTTGGATGGGGAGTAAAAGAGATGTGATTTGGTAGTTATTGAGGACATTGAAAGTGGTTGGGCTTCTTGAATTGTTTGTCTAAGGATTGTCATTTGGTGCTCTCCCTCTTTCTATTACCACCATTTCACTCGTTATTGGTTTTTCTCATGCTGCTCTTTCTAACAAATTTGAGCTATATGAGAAAGTACTTTTGGCATGACACACCCGTAGGTAGTCAAGTAAAAAGTATTTTTTTAATAGCACTTTGTTAGTAAACACCTTAAGGCGTTGTTTGAAACAATTTTTAAAAGTGTAGAATCAAACATCAAAATTAATTTGTATCGAACATTTTTTTTACTTAAGTGTTTATTGTTAAGTATTTTTGCTAAAGACACTTTTTATACAAACACATTGTATCGTAAGTGCTTTCGGCCTCTCAAACGTGTTTTTCTAAGCTCTCATATTGTTTGGTTAAATAATAAAAATGATATTAAAATAATATTAACCATATTTTTTCATATCCTAAACATAGCCATACATTGTAATGTGCCTTCCCTCTACCTAACTAATAAAGTTCATTTAATTGCATTGATCAAATATCTCTCTTCTTTCAAGAAAAGTTGGGCAGTGCATACCAATAAAAGAATCCTAAAAATAACCTTGTTTCCATATAAATGCTATTAATGAGGTAGCTGAGCAGCTGGTAGTTGGCCATATTCTAACCAACTCTCCCCTCACGTTTAGGGTGAACGTCCACCACTTTTCTTTTACTATGGCAATGGAGGGAGATTGAGCTTCGACCTCAAAAAAAATAAAATTATGTTCGGGTAAGTTTTCATTATCTATAGTTTTCTTTTATTTTAAACTAATAGTGTGCGGTGAAGATTCAGACATCTTGTTTAAATGTATACCTTAACTAGTTGGGTAAGGTTCATAATAACTACCCATCATCTTTGGATCCTCATATATAGCTAGTTTTAAGAGACCGCTTGGAATTATCACTCAACTGTCATCCCACCACAACAAAACTAATATAAGAATAATTTTATGATAAATTTTGACAAGTAAATTACTATGAGATTTTTGTAATTGGCCTTGTAACCTCAATGGTCAATTTGATAACCGTTAAAGGATCTATAAAATATTAAATTTATCGTAACTTATTAGTTTAAGCTTTTAGGTTGACTGGTAATTTAACATGATATCACAATATGAGATTATGTATTTGATTCGAACCGCTATAATGTCATTTCCTCCCCATTTAACATTGATTACCACTTGTTAAAGCCTTCTGCAAATTTCCAAGTCTATAAGTAACGGGGAGTGTTAGGTTCTATAAAAGATTAAATTTTTCATAACCCATCCGCTAGAGTACTTGAGTTGATGGGTGTTATGTTTTTAGGGATGTTTCAAAATCCTATCCAAATGCCAAATATATTTTTTAGAGAAGTCTTAAATTAGATGTATTAATTTCAATTTTCGTGGAGTAAAAGTCACTGTAAGAATAAATCACAAAAAAATAATATCTAATCAATCACAACAAAAATCTTAGGGATGTTTACGAGTCTAGGATTGAAAAATGATGAATTTGAGTAAATCTATGTCTCGGCTCGTTAAAGTAATAGGTTATTGATGATGGAAAATACTAGCCTCCTCACTAGTAAGAAAGAACTTTGTCCTTGCCACCCTTAAATATTTGACAATTAAGATAGAAAAATACAAAAACAAAATAAAATTTTGAAAAAAAAATGAGTTGTCAACTATTTATCGGTGGTAAGGACAAGGTTTCTCCATACCATTAAGGAGTCTAAGTATTTCTCATTGATGATTGATCTACAAGATCCATAAGTCAGGTGGAAAGAAGAGTTAGAAGGTTAGGTCTGATTTATCCTGAGAAACAATTACTCTTCAAATAGGCAATAAAACATGTCTCGAGAAGACATTAGTTTTACTAGATTCACAATTTTCTTTTGACTGCACATGTTTTTCCAAGAGTTATCTGTCTAATGAAATCAACATAATAAACGGAAAAATAGATCAATATATACCAACGATCAATGATGCTAGGATTACCTGTACATGAGACGCTACAGAACAGATACTGTAAATATCATTTTGGATGCAGCATCAATCAGTTTCCTTGATCAATTCTAAGCATCTATCCTCTACATCAGCATCAATGTTCTTCATCTTCGGAGAGGCAAGCTGCAAGAAAGTTACTCATATTAGATGTTTATGAGACCCAAACTGTCTCTCTGCAAGCTTTCACTATGATTCTATTTCAGGGATCGGATTTTTGCGCAAGAAAAATAGACGTAGGGAGGCCAGAACAGCAGGTAGGTTGGTCGTGGATGGCTAACAGGCTGTTTCTTGCAAGAAATGGGTGCTTGAAGCAAGACGTAGATTCGAGAAATAATATAAGGGTAACACGTAGTTTTCACCGGTATGAGTAATGAAATTTCGGAATCGTAATATACCCCATATAAGCCTAACAACTTTGGAAGTAACTGAAAAGTTCAAAAACTAAAAACGTCCTTTTTTTTCTTCTTTTTGGCACATATTTCAACTAATTAAGACAAATGTTCTAACCCTACTATGATTGTCAAGAAAACTCGTTGAAAATTAAATCTTACGTGGACATCTTCAAAGATCATTTCAGAACAATTCATAATATCTCACTCCAGTCAGTTTACTCTCATCTTTTGCAGATTATAATCTCTTGAACCAACAGCAAAGTCACTCTATGAACAAGCAACGGATCAAACGGTACTCAGTCAACGTCCATAAAAGGAACAAATTGCTCTATTCTACAAGTATAAGCCAGTTTTAGGCCCAGAGAATTGTTCTGCTTTAATTTTAGAACAAGAAGACAACTACAACGCAGAAATACTTTAAGTAGGTTTTACATTTTAACATTGGTTCCATTCAAGCATTCAAAGCTTCCATTACCTAAGACTTCTTCCATTTCAATTCAGAAAGCTGTAAGAAACAACTAAAAAGCTCTGGAATCTTTCCTCTCAGTTTGTTTCGGTTGGCACAAAACTGAAAACACCTCACGAAGATTCCAGAAACTAAAACCTACTGTATCACTTTCAAGCTTCATCCAAGATCGAGAGAGAGAGAGAAAAAAACCCCTCAGCCCCAACTATTTAAGCTATTATAGTCATTTCAACACCCAAAACTCAAGTTAAACGCCCTTCTGCAGTTAAAATTAGACCTAATCCGCAAAATTGATATGCAACGACGACATTCAAAACATGATCGCACAAATTTACGAACTCAAATTCCAGTAAAATCTTATTAGAAAAGGGGAAAGAAGAATCACCTCCGCAGCAATAGCAGCAGTAACAACAGGAGAGAAGAAGCAGGGCTTCTGAGCAGAAATCGAGTACTCGACCACCAAAAGAAACCAGATTCGTGTTTTCTGCTGTTTCGCCATCAGCATCAGAAGCTTGTTCTTTATCCAGCAAGTTCTGCTTGCTCGAAGATTGCTGCTGCTGTTGCTTTTGAATTTTCATTCTGTGGAGGTTCCATTCCAGCTTTTTGATGTAAGCATGCTTGAAAGAGTCTCTGATCCTTGTCGATGGCCATAGATGCATTTTTCCCTCTTGATTGGAATGAAGAATGAAGAATGAACGAAGAAAGAAGTTTCTATGGGAGAATTTCGCAATAATTGAACTTCTATTTTGGATTTTTAACTGGAAAAAAATAAAAGGTCAAAATTAGATGTGGAGACCCACCCTCCTTGTGAAGAGTATTAGGGGCTGTTTAGTAAATGTGAACACATATTATTTTTTTTTAAATACAAGTTTTATGAAATTATATTTATATATAATTCTTTCCCTAATAAATTTATAAATGATAATTTCAGTACAATATTTTTGGCCATTTAAAATCACTTACGAAATTATATTAAATACTCTTTGAATTAATAAATCTTTCAAAAGTATTCATAGATAAAATATTTTAATTTAAAATCATTTATTTCAAATGTCATTTTTTGGTACAATAAATATAGAAAGAGATTCAAACGCATCACCTCTTAATCAGAGAGAGATAAATGTTAATTACAGTTAAAGCTAAGCTCAAAGTTGGCTTCAAAAGTCATCTTAAACCCACAATTAACCACATCAAAAACCACTCACCCTCCAACTCTAAAACAACTTTGGTATTGCCATAAAAAAACAATTTCAATCTATCAAATTAAAATTTCGTAATTTGGCGTAAAAGTAATATCTTTTTTTTAGTACAACAACATACGATTCATATTTCATAAATTTTAGTGGAAGACATAATAAATTTAGACAATCCCCAAGTTAATAAAAGATCTTTGAAACAAAACCCTCCCATGTGAAGTTATTTGGAATTATTTGAACTTTTCAACGAAAATCTCAACATCTACAACGTAGGCAATATATGTATGATCGGTTTTACTTTTTAACTCTACTTGAAGTTGTAGGCACAACAGCTCAACGCTGCTGGTTTATGAATTTGTAATTTGCATTAAAAAAAATGAGACTTAGATTCTGCTTTATTTAAAGGGACAAGGATGAGAATCCAAGAGGGGAATATTCATTTCACTGTTTCTTTGTTGGACTTGTCAATTTGTAATGGAATATTAAACATTCTACTTTATTGAACAAATGTGGGTAAAAAATTTCTCACACCTTTCTTGTCACACCCAAATATGATATTTATTCTCACTTGAGCAACTATCTACTTCAAATTACCAACCATTTGAATTAAATTTTTCATCATAAAAACTAGTCGATCAATTCGATTGATTTTGATTTTGTAAGTCTCAATTGAACATCGGATCAAAAGTAGTCTATTTGAGGTAAAACCGCACGCCATGCGGAAGACAAAGAAAATCCATTCAAATAAATCCGAAAATCCAAGCCACCTCGAACCCTTCCGAAGTGTCATTAGTATCAAATTCTATCTCAAACTTAATGTTGAGTCCGAACTGTTATTAACTTAAGAGTCAGAGTATTTGCCTCTCTTGTACATATCATCCCTTGATGGAGCGAGTTAGTCATCCCACGTGTTTGACCTTGATCAGGTCAAATCTCGTCTATTTTTACTCTTAAACATAGTCAATTCAGAGGTAGAAATTCAAACTCACGATTTTTAATCAAAGATAGATATTTTAACTAATTGAATTATGTTTAGATTCACGTTAAAAGTAATCATATATATTCTTCAAAATCATATATATTCTTCGCATTAGTGATCATATATGACTGTTTAAGAGAAAGAAAGCAAAGATTGGACCGCACATTTTGAACACTAACATATATATAGATGATTCTTGACCAACAAAGTGCAGACAATAGAAAGGGCCTAAAAAATTAACATTAATGAGGCCAAGTTGGATAAAATAAAACCAGCTTTAGAGTACAGATAAAAAAATAAACCTAAAACTTAAAAAGCTAAAAAGAGAGGTTCAAGTGCTGCAGCTGGCTTTAGGCTGGCGATGATTAAACGGAGTGGCTACTCCTGAAAGAGCCGAGAGCCTTGGCCGCGCCAGCCCTCAGAATGAACTGGTGGTAGAAGGCTGCGATGGCGGCTCCGACGAGAGGCCCAACCCAGAATATCCACTGCAAAGGTCCAGCCCAGTCCGGCCCGGCCCAATAATATATGTTAGAATTTGAATGAATCCAGAGAGAGAGGGAGAGAGGAGAGAGATACTTACGTGGTCGTTCCAGGGCTTTTCCTTGTTCAAGATAACAGCAGCGCCGAGGCTTCTGGCAGGGTTGATGCCCGTGCCAGTGATGGGGATGGTGGCTAGGTGAACCATGAACACCGCAAACCCGATCGGGAGCGGAGCCAGTACCTTTTTTTAAAAATAGCACAAAATGAATATGTGAGTTTAAAATTTAACGATAATAACATAGTGAGTTTGACAACGACAAAAATATTTATCATTCTAAAATCACTCGCAAACACACCATTATATACATATTATTAATATTTATGTTAATGAGTTTAGATTTTAATACTCTCTCCTCATTCTGTTATATAATATTTTAAAAAGATCAATTGACAAAGAAATACTATGATAACTCAAAATCGAGTTAGAAAATTGTCTAAGGATAGTTTATATAGTCAAAAAACATTTAAAAATAAAATAAAAAAGTCCAAACCCAGCTGTTACAAGCACTCAATCCAATTCTAAAATGAAAACTTACAATAAAATGACCAAAAGAGAAATCACTTGGTTACAAAAGTGATGGAATCTAGTCACAAGTCTCGAAAAGAAACAACTCATTCTTTAAAATATAAAATTGAATTAAATAAAAGTTAAATATGCCTTATTTAACAATGGCAGTAAAAAAAGTGAATATTTTTTTACCCAACTTGACAAAAAAAAAATGTGACATTAAAGAGTTAGATGTAACTAACGACCATAGAAAAGGCCAAAAAGGTGATGGACAGGCAGAAGATGGGTGGATTAAGTTGGTCTCGTGAAACCCAATCCCCATAATATAATAAAACCATTGGAGGCTATGACGTGGCCGCCATGTGGGAGTAATAAGATTTTGTTTGGTGGGTGGTGAGAGATTCTTACACAAACCCCAACGCAGTAAATATTTAAAAAAAAACCCTAAATGGAGGGAAAAAACAAACAAAAAAAAATTAAATTACTTTCAAAAAGTATACTTAGATCTATATATTTTAATTTTTGTTCATTTTAAATGCTTTTAAAATGTATTTTAATTTCGATATTTTGGAGAAGTGAATGCTTTGGTATCCTTATTTTTATTTAAATCTCATTTCCTTTAAGTCCTAAATTTACTTGAACACATTTCACTTACTAAATTTCATGTAATATATCCATAAATTTATATTAAATGATATAAGTATTAATTTTTTGTTATTATTGTGTGAATGTAAATCAAAATGGTCATTTTTTAAAAATAAGGAGACAAAAAAAAACATTTTTAAAGTTAAAAAACTAAAATGATCAAACATTTTGAAGTAACTCATAAAATATAATATAATATATATATTTTGCAACCAAAATAGAAAACAAAAATAAAAAACATCTTTTAACCAATCTAAACTTAACTCAATTGGTTAAGGCACTAATATCCGACTAAGAAGTCTTGGAATACCAACCAGAATAAAAAACACTATGAAAAAATAAATTTGCTTTTACTTAATCTGAATTTAACTCAACTAGTTAAAACATCCATGTCTAATCGAGATATTGAGTTTCGAATCTCAATTTCGAAATTATTCTATTTAAAAATTATTAAAAAAAAAGCCTTTTTATATGGGAAAAGAATATTTTGACGTGTTTGGGAGATGCAAAAAGGGTCACCAATCTGACCCAAAATGTAAGAAAAAAACAGCCAACGGCCTTAATGGTCACGCTGGCGCCCAAGATTGAGTTCAGCTTTTTCTTGGATGCAAATCAAAGGGGTTTCTTTCACCTGCAGCTTCTGCTCCACATTGAATGCCCTCAAAACCGGTGTTACATACATGGGGAAAGGAAAAAAAAAACCACCACCTCCCCATCCCTTACATGAGAGAGAAGCATTGGGGCACAATTCATGGAAAAAAAGGCCCTAATTTTCTTGGGAAACAAACAAAAGTTGTGCCAATCCTAAGATCTGATCCAGACCAATTTTCTATTTTTATTGTATATTTGGATAGTATCATAAAATCAACAATAATATATTCTTTAAATTAATTCTATTATGATTCCTGATATTTGATGTTTCTTCCGTTTTGGTTTGTAAATTACTTTGACAATTGTTTTTCTTATTATTTAATAGAAAAATTGACAACCTTGTATGTTTTACTTGATTATTTTGATGAACAAATATCTCTGAAAGAAAAATATTTATCAAAAATCACAATGAAGGGTTCAAAATGACCAGAAACCAAAACAGGTGCGCGGAAAAGATATAAACTAATAGTGTGTTTGGTGGTGACAGTAGAATGAATAATTTTGAAAAAAGAGATTTAAGATAATTGATTTTTTCTAAATTACCCTACATTAAAAATCAATTTAAAGTTATTTTTAACTCCCTATAATCCATTTATAAAAATGAAAGTGGTTTTGACAATGTAATGCCGCCAAAATTACTACCAAACACGCACGTAAAATAAACAAAATTATAAAATATAAGGACAAAGATAAAAAAGAAAAAAAATTATGGAAGAGTTTACAAATTAAAATATAGTATTTTAAGGTTGAAAAACAAAACAAATTAAAAGGACAGACTAAAATAAAATTTAAACCAAATACTTATAAAGAAAATTCTTAAAAAATTTATGGTTATTTTAGTTTTAAGAGACTTTTACAAATAAGCACTAAAGTAAAAACAAACATATATTTATTTTGAAAAACAATTCCAACATTATTTATACTTAATTTAGTTGGCTCTATTCGCTGTTAGAAAACAATGACCAATTCAGAGAACAAACAAGTACATAACTTTGGGATTCAGCAGAGTTACTGGTCTACTACTGCATAACTACAATTTCTTAGAACTTTAGAAAATAAATTATATCATTTTAAAAAAAACGACGGAAAAAGAAACAGAAAAAAATAATTAATTAATTAATTGGGGGAGAAGAAGAGAACGTACAGGAACATGGGAGTCTCTGGCATTTCTCTTGGGATCGGTGGCGGAGAAGACGGTGTAGACCAAGACGAAGGTGCCGACGATCTCCGCCGCCAAGCCGACGCCTTTGCTGTAGCCGTCGGCGAGCTGGTTCGCGCCGCCGCCGTACTTGTGGAAGTAAGCCGTCTGAAAGGCTTTCACGAGCCCCACGCCGCTTATGGCTCCCAAGCACTGAGCCACCATGTACGCCACCGCCCGGACCAGCGACACCTTCCGAGCCAACAACAGCCCGAACGTCACCGCCGGGTTTATATGCCCACCTGCCGGAAACAATAAAAACAAATCCCCCGGTGAGAAACGCGTTATTTCTCAGTTTCCTTTTTCTTATATATTATAAATGAAAATGATAAAATAATATATTTTATTCTATATAATATGACAATTATAAATACGGGTTTTTTAATTTTATTTCTATATAAAACTTATTTTATTCTAGGTATATAGAAGATCAGACTTCCAATGAAGTGTACATGCTTTACTGAGATTTGAGAAGACTAATAACAAAAATATTATCAACGAGTGCCCAGCTGAAAAGATTGTAAATTGAAAGGCTCAGGTTGGTGATGTAATATTGCCCAAAAAAAAAATTGTTAATAAAGAAGTTTTAATGTTTTTGTCCTTTGCAAAAATAATGAGAAAATAACTTTTTTAATTCCACAAATGCGAAAGTGGAAACCAAACCAAAATGAAAAATACTGAGTAGTTACAGCCTTCAAGGTAAATCGATAACTTATTATTTTTTACGGTACAACATTTAGAGTCGTGAATACTCAAGTTGAAAATTTATTAATTTTTTTAAAAAGTTCTATTTCTACTTATTTTTTTCTTGATTGTCAAATATTCCTGAGTAATAAAAGATAAGATTATTTTTTACCGTTATTTACCGGAGGTAAAACGGGAAGAGTGTTATTTTGAAGGAAGAGAAGGGGGAATGGAAAGGCACCTGAAATGCCGGCGGTGCAGTAGACGAGAACGAAGATCATGCCGCCGAAGGCCCAAGCGATGCCGAGGATCCCAACGCCGCCGCAAGCGTCGGCGCCGGGCTTGTCTGGGTCGGTCTGGCTTCTGTAGCCAATGACGGTCAAGACGGTGATGTAGAGAAAAAGGAGAGTGGCGATGAACTCGGCAATGATGGCCCTGTAAAAGGACCACTTGCCCAGCTCCGCTCCGTCGAACAGCGGAGCCGGCGGCGGGTCGTGGTAGTCCTTGCCGGAGTACGACCCTCGCCCAGCCGACACGTCGTCTTTCGCCATAACCTTTTGAACGGAAAAAAAAAAGTAACTTGAAAGACGAATTAAAACGAACAACAGAGAGATGAAAGAGACTCGGGTTTGGCGAGGAGAAGAGTGGAGGGTGGGGGATTTTATATTGGGGATGGGCGCACAGTCCTTGAAGTATTTTTATTTTTATTTTTTAATTCTTGACTCCTTACGACCAATCTTACCACTTTAATTGTAATAAAATAAATAAATATTAAAACACAAACATTTTACGTTTAAATAGTATCTTGTCTGCCAACGTGAATTTAATTCAACGATCCATTACTAGAAGTTATAAGTTGTAATCACATATCCCCACTTATTATACTAAAAAATATATACATATATTGTCCCATGACTTTTAGTTTGATTAAGAATCATAATTAATTTAACCCACCCTTCAAATAAATCACCCTCTCCAAAATTCATAAATCTCACTCCAGATTCATGCTAACTCGTCCAATATTCAAGTAAAACTCAGGCAAGTGAAGACAACGAACTCGTCCGAGTTGTAAAACCTATTATACACAAAAATTAATAAAATTTAAAAAATTTATTGGAAAAAATACGGGGAATTAATTTAAGCACAAATTTAAAAGTTTAAAGATTTATTATAAACTTTTAAAAATTTAAAATTAAATAGACACAATCACTTAAAATGCATTTGGTTGGTACTTAAAAAAAATTTGAAAAAGGTGATTCAATAAAAAAGAAACATAATTGTCATATTTTTAGTCTTTTCTAATGTGTGTTTAATAGCTGGTTAATCTGAATCTCAATTTGAAAATTATTTGTTTAGTAATATATTAGTGTAGTTACTCAACAAATATTTAGTTAAATCTAAAATATTATTAATTAACTTTTTAACATATATATCACAAATTTTGTATAATTTAGTTTATTATAATAATTATAAAAAATAAAATTAAGTTTATGATGAGAAATTGTATATTTATCAAAATTTTGTTTCTTTTAAGTATTATAAAATTTAAAGTTTCAAATTTAAAATATAAAAACACAGAAAACATAAAATTTGTATTTTTCACCATTTCTGCTATTGGTTCACATGATTTAAAAATAGTTTTAAAAAATCTACTAAATTGATACTCTTTTAATCGAAACAAGACTAAATCTGTAAATAAAAAAACAACAAAGCTATTTAAAATTGAGAGGGAAAAAATGTAAAAATAATATTTTGATCTCTATACTTTTAATTTTGATTTATTTTAGTTACTCTCAAAACCTTCCTTTACCTTATACTTTGAAATTTAGTTTATTTTATTCATGTATTCTTGAAATGTTCGTTTTGGCCCATATATTTTAAAAAATTTATGTTTGTGGTCCCTATTTATTAAATTTTAACACAAATTCTACAATTAACGAAAACCATTTAACATAAAGTTAATGTTATATTTTAATAAATAAAATTGAGTAATTAAAAGGACCACATTTTAAAACCACGTAAATCAAAACACATTTTCAAAAAATAGTCTAAAATAAATCAAAAATATATATACAAACTAAAAATAACTAAATCCGAAATACAAATATTAAAATAGTATGTTGACTGAAAAAAAGTACCAAAGAAAAAAGAGGGGGAGGAGGAAGAAGATTGAGTAGGGGCCAGGAGGAAGAGCGTGGGGAGCTGGCGAGGGGTTCAGACTTCAGAGGGTTCCAGAGAAAAGGACAACTTTGCCCCCTCCAATGGTTCATGCTTTTGCTTTGGTTGCCCCCATCTCCAGTCATTGTCAAAATCCAATTACACGTTGTTAACGTGGACGGCTTTGATTTCCTCAATTATATCTCCCCTAATCCACTTACACGTGGCACCTCCAAACCCTTCCCTTGGACAACCCCTACTTTCCAACCGACCGCCCGTTAAATTTTGAAAAATACTTGACTCTTTGACGTTAGAGATCAAATTTTATCTTTACCACCATTAAAGAATTGAAAACTCATTACTTACAAAAATATAAATTTGATTTTGCATTTTATTGTCAAATATTTAATGGTGATGAATATAAGATTGCTCTTTAATCCTTACGGAGCTAAGTATTTTTCTTAAATATTTTACGAATAAGATAAAATGATAAAAAATATATATTTATTTTGTTTCGAGAAAAATATATCTTCTTAACTGTAATATGGTCATGAACATCAAGTATTAAGTAGCGTTATTAAACATACCACAACCTAAATTATTGAATCTCTCTCTCTTATTGATGAATTAATGTATAAAATATACCTTTAAGTCATGTTTACTTCAAGAGAATGGAAATTAATGAATGAGAATCAACTTTTTTATTCCCTTTATGGTGTTTCATGGAGTGTTGGGATGAGAATCAAATGGTGGGACCCACCTACTTTTTCATTTCGGCAATTCTATTCCTCTCTTACATCCTCATCAATCTTATTGTCATTCCTTATTATGTGGGTCCCACATATTTAATGCATTCATTTTTCTACTTTAACCCTTTTTCTCTCATGATTAACTAGACCCATAATTTTTTATTTAATTGTTTTATACTTTTTTATTTCTTTTGCATTTATACTAATAATTTTTCTTTTTAGTAAAAAATTTATATCAGTAAATGAGATATTTTATAAAATATTTAATATTTAATTATTTTAATTTAATTTTGTTATTATTAATTATTATAATAATAAAAATTTAATGATATTATTGTTAAATATTATTATAATAATATTTTATATTAAATGACGATGGTTCTAATAAAATAGTATTTTAGTTGATGTAATTTTATTTTAATTATTTATCATTTATTAATATTAATATTAAATAAATTGTTTTGATAAAAAAATATTTACTATCAATAATATAGTAATAAAATAAATTAAAATAAATTATTATTATTAAAAAAATTAGCACCACAATGTATTTGTGATTAGTTAGAAAGAAGATAAGGGTATACTAGTAATTGTCATATATATGATTTCGATTTCGATTCCAGACAATTTTAATAAATAGCGTCAAAGGAATTCTGATTCCGATTCTAGAAAATTTTTAATTGATTGATTTGATTCCGATTGATTTTCATTCCAATTAATTTCCATTCTGATTCCTAGTAGGTAAACATGACCTTAATTCATTAACTTTTACGATTATGGCTAAAAAAGTTTTCAAACTTATACTATTTAATATATTTTTAATTTTTAAGAAGGGTTGAATAGATCTTTTAACTTTCAACTTTGAAACTGATAGGTTATTGAGAGGACATACTACACATTTTATTAAGTTGAAGCACCTGTTAAGACATGACATTCAAAGTTTAAAATATCTATTAGACATATTTTAGAATTATGTGATCTATTATGTGATCTATTAGATATAACCATAAAGGTTAAAATAAAACTTGTAATTTAACCTAAATAAATTGAGGAGCGCATATATTAAAGTTTAAGGAAAAAATTTAGTTACAAATCACTTAATCTATCTAAAACTAACTAGTCGTGTAAATCTTTGATAATATAGTCGGTGTGTTTGCATAAATGTTCCACTATAAATTTAACTAGAGATACGAATTAGACACAAAAATTAAAATATAAATATATATTGTGAACTAATATTAGATAGACACAAACTTTTGAATCTCGAAGACTAAACATTCTACCGACCAAACAAACTTGAAATACGAAGACTAGAATTTATGATTTAACTATTAAAAATAACTAATTTAATTTTAAATATGTGTGATATCGTGTCATCTTACTCCAGCAAGGATGGAAAGTAAAGGAAGTGAGAGAGGTAGGTAGCAAGATTAATGTCAAGTATTAAATAGTGATCTTTATAAAATTCACAAATAGACCTTTAAAAATTTTATGGACTAAAAAAAACAAATGTAAAGGTTTAATGCTAAAATAAAATTTAAATCAAAACTATAAAATATTACAAAATTTCCGGGTTATTGATAGGGACAAATCCTGTGAAGTTGCCCGTACTGGATTATTTCCGGTTAAGTGCAGAGATTATCACGTACAAATCGGACAACAGCAATATCTTCCCGTTTGGACAGTAATATCTCAATTATTTTTTCAAAGATTAAATACGAGAATCAGATAACAATAACAATATTCGAAATATATTATTTACAAATTACAACTCGACAAATCATAGTCAAGTATTTTTTTTTTTCCAGAAGAAATCATTCTCACGTGGGTAATTAATAATGCATCTTACAGAAAAAAAGGTTTTTGAGTTTATAAGCAATATCAAAATTGGTATTATATTAGGTGTTCTTAATCGCCCCAATCTTATTATTCTCAATAATATTATTTTCTTTGACCATTTTATATATATATATTTTTCAAAATTTGGAATTTGAGAAAAAAATATATAATAAAAATGGAATATCTTTTCATGTGTTTGTTAAGAAAGTGGCGCGGTAGTCGCTTGCCAAGCAAAAAATCTTCCTCTCCTTATTTTTTCCTCCTCTCTACTCAGAGAATATAACTTTTGATCCTGGTTTATTATTTTCGTTTATTTTACCTATGTACTTTTCAATTGTCCGTTTTAATTCAAGTGTCTCTAAAGAGTAATAACTATTTTAGTTTTAGTTGCAAAAACTTTGACACGGCATAACAATATGTGGGGTGGGAATGGAGAATTTGAACTCACGGTCTCTTGATCGTGATATATGTCTTAATCAGTTGAGTTATGTTCATGTTGACATTTTAACATGATAAAAACCCTTGGATAAATATCAGTATATACATCTCAAGAAATATAGTGAATGAAATGTTGTGCTAAATTTTTTGCTGACATAAAATGAGATAAAAATTAAAATGGAGAGAAATAGTAATTTTTTTAAGTACACAAACCAAACCAAACGTTTCGAAAGTACAAGAACTAAAATGAATAGAAGTTGAAAGTATAGAAACGTTTTAAAAAATACTGTGACTAAAATGAAATAAAGCGGTTCCCCTGTCGTATTAAAATAATAACTTTTTCGCCATCCTTTTGTTTAATTTAAATATTAAAGAAAAAAAACTCAACTCTGAGTTATTAATTCTGAATTGTGGGAGAACATGCATTATTTTAGATATGATATAACAAGCATGTACCGCAACAAACAATAGAAAAAGAAAACGGTTATGACAATTTTCAACTTTTTTTATTTTTATTTTTTATTGTTTGGATATGCACCCAACAAATAAAATTTATGAAGTGTTTTCCAATCCACATTTTTTTAAATATATTTTATTATTTGATTTTGTGGTGATGGTGAAGAGGAGGAAATCAAAATTATTAGAGTTGAGAAATATTTGGGCATCTCTATTATGGTGTGCCAACCAAGAATTGAAAGGCAAGAAAACAGAGCAGAAACCAAAATGTTGTGACCATATGCATCTTGTCTTCAAATATAAACTAGACAGCTATTTTTGGATGTTGTATTGATCAAGGGTGGAAATTGGTTGGAATTAACTTTTTCAAAAAATTGGACTAGCAAATTTTGTTAAGCAAGAAAAAATTGACTCAACAAAAATTAAATTTAACAAAATGTTTTTCGAATTGCGCGAAAAAAAAAACCAAGGATCATATTAATTTATGTGAAATTGAAATTAGACAAGTAAAGAAATTTGGTGAGTCTTGGTAATTCAGACGGTACATTCTCATTTTTAAGTGTCATTATTTATTTTTTCCATTTAAAATTTTGTGTAAAAAACTTGACTCCCTAGGGTGGAAAGAGGAAGAAGGAACCAAGTATTTTCTAAATTTTATTTTATATGTACTAAGACACTTATCTCTGAGTTCGAATCTCCACCTCCACTTGTTGTACTAGAAAAAAGCTAACATGTAAAGTCCAACCCATCTATCATTTAGCGTGCTTATCAACAAAGTTCATTGTTTCAAGTGACATGTCTACATGTTCAAATACGTTAATAAAATAATAGATCAAGGATACATCACATTTATATTAACTTAATTTTGTACGAAAAACTTAATTGCTCATTTCTAATATGTTAGTGGTAAAATGAGAATTTTTAAAAATTAATAACCAAATTGATAATTACACGCCTAACATACTAAAGATTTTGATGGTCGTACTTTGATTATAGCTCATGAAATGTCTCTGTCATGGTTGAGAAACAACAAAATTCCAACATGACCAAATTATCATGTGAATATGGTACATAAATTCGTCAATGTCACATTTTATTTTAACAACATGACAATCCAACAAATCACGCATAGTTGAAAACACTTCGAATCAAACCCTAAGCATTACTTTCATTGAAAAGTAGTAAGTTGACTAGAACTATATTGTTCTAAAACACAACCAACAATTATATTAGATTTTTTTGTTGCCACTCATTTTGTTACATTAGAATTTTTACCAATGGCATGTATATGCTTACATTTCTAAAGATGTAGTTTAACCTAAATTCTATTATAAAATTGACTAATTTCATGATAGTTTTTTATCCACCCATAATTTGTTATTTAATAAACGAACATAAAACACCTGAATCGATATAATGATTAATACATATATTTAATTTATAAAAAAAATACATATTCAATTATGCAATATCACCATGTCGGACTTTTAAATGTAAAATGACATCGAAAGAGGCATCTTCCCTATGTTTTTCAAACTTTAGTTATGAAATTACTGAAGAAAATAATCGATGAAATTATTGGAAAAAAGTCTGTCGTTAAATGGCTGTCAGGACCTAAAATTAAAATAAGTTTGTAAGCACTAATTGGCACAAAATAATAATAGTAGTGGACTATTATTATATTTGGCACGTTTTTTATTTTTGTTGATGAATATTGAAATAGCGAATAAAATAGTCTCAAATGCTCGTTTTTTATTTGCTAAAAGGAAATGGTTATTTATCACCAACTAACATTAGTGGCAACGTACGGGACAAGTACAAAAATATGCGAAAGTGTAGATTCGAATTTATAATTTTTTTTAGAGGACGAAGATATTTACTTTAACATATTGAACATAGATCGATACATTTTATTTTTCAATTTTTTCTTTTTTGGAGATAATTTTATTTCTCATTTCATGTTTATATCTATTGGTTGAAAAATCAAATTGAATTATAGTTCACCTCAAACCTTTTCATTTAAGTCTAATTTATAAATATAATAAACATAATTTTAATTATCTTTAGTAATTTTATTATGATAGTCGATATGAATATATCTCAGGTTCATATTGCACTCCCTCATATTTCTTCGATTTTTTGGCATATTCTTTTCCTCTTCTATTTAATTTAACATCTTTTTCCTTAAAAAAAAAACATAAAATGAGTTATTATGATATATAATAATTTATTGGCAATTCTCTTGGTTTTTAAATATATTTTAATAATTTATAAGTAATTGTTTGAATTATATACTCCAAAAAAGTTATTGATTTAAATATTTTTCCATGTGTTCCTTTTTATATATTTCCTTTTAAATATTAAGCCTCTAAGTATAATTTTGTAGCCCTCCCATTCTTAAATATTTTATTTTATTTCTTAAATTTTACATGAGCAATTAATTAATCGTTTTAACAAAAAAAAACAAATTTATTTCGGAATTGAGACCTACCCTATTGAAAAGAGAGTACTAATTCTTCTGTATACCAACATTAATTACATATTTAATTTCCAATTTAAATAACATATTTTTGCACCAATCTTAACATAACTCAAACAATTAAATACATATATCCTTGATAAAAAAAAGTCGAGATTCGAATCCCTACCCATGTGTTTGTTGAACTCATAAAAAACATACTTTTGCTTCATTTCCAACACATTTAAAAATTTCAACAATTTGGTGAGATTCATCAGTGGCATAGAATCACAGCTGGGCCTCTAAACCTTGTACAAGAAAAATTCCATATCTCCACAAATGTTAGTTTCTCTATACAAACTAAAAACCAGCTTATTCAGTGATTGGCAAAATGAGTCTGTACATGATATACATGTAAAATCAAGAACAAAATCAGACAAATATACATCTAAAACCTAACAGTAAGCAGAAAAATCGATGTGAGACCCGAGCTACCGATCGTTCTACAACAAGCGCTTGAGGCTTTTATTGAAATTCAAGCAGCAAAAGCACCTTCCATGGCCTGCAAGATTGAGGCAGTATCGAATTTGAAGTTTCTGAAGCTCTTTCCTGGATCAGAATCAGATTTACTGGATTGGTTGTCTAATACCATCGAGCTACTACTCATCGAGCTATTCTTCACCTTCCACATGGTGACTCCTGAGAGAATAGCAAAAGTTTATAATGGTGTCAACAGAGCTCATTGGCAAAGAACACGAGAAAGTCTGATAAGCCAAGTGTATATCAATTTTTATTATTATAATTTTTTTTTTCGCAAAGAACACGAGAAAGTTAATAAGCCAAGTGTATTGCAAATTATGGAAAATGCGTTCGAGACCAGACAGAGATATGACAGAGAAACGTTGCATCTAATTTTCACATGGATGGTAGCTGAATGATCATATTGTCACACCAATTTGTTCAGTTCTCCCACTAATATCTTGGCTGTTTGCACATGAAATTCCATCGAAAAGAATGATATCAGGTCCCTATTTTCACCTAAAATATCCTTGATCACTGGTCATGACATCTGCATTTACCCGTTTTTCGGTTTCTATTTTAATTTTGAAGGTTATTTTTGCTTGACAACACTACTTTTCAGAAATGTTCCCTGAATTGTATTTAGATTTAATAAAGAAAAAGCTCCAAATATTTGATACCATTTTTGTTCCTTCCAGTTCTTTATTTAAGAAGAGCTAACAAACAATCGAAATTATATTTGACAATCAAAACTAAAGGTCCTGATTTGCAAGTCACAAACTGATTACCTTTAAGAGGCATGTCAAAATTAGGAACCACAGGACGCTGATGTGTCAGAATCCAAGATCTCAGTGACCTGCATCAAAATGTTGATTCCACTAAACATAAACTAAACTGCGAGCTTAGGAAAATCAAGAAAACTACAAAACGATGCTTGCTCACGTTAAGAAAGGAGCCACCATATAAAGCTTGAGACCAGTGATTCCATGAGATATCACATCATCACTGGCAGGTAGAAGGTCGTCAAGTCGGTGCCATGCAATTTCCTGCTTCCAAAAAACATAACCATATGTCATTTGGGTCATTACTTTGCATTATAGAATGATATATTTTTCTAAGAATTCGGCCTTAAGAGGAACAAACATGAATGAAACAATCAATAGAGGCACTTAGAAGATAGGAAGTACTGATAACTTGAACTCAGATGTTGAAAGGTATACCAATTACCAAATTGTCAACGCTCAGTATAAAAGTTGTAAATAAAGATCGAAAGCTAGAAAACAGAACCAAAATAGCTTTGAACCCAATAGCATGTTAAATATAAAAAGGATCAACCTAAAGACTTCCATCTGTCCATTATTGAAAAGGAAAATCCAAAATCTCTGTTCAAGAATTTCTAAGTTGAAGAAGACAAAAATTGAGAAGGCAAACATACACTGATCTCTTTCTTAGTAAGTGGCGCAAAGGAAGAATCGTTTTTCACCCCAGCGATAATGTAGAGCCGCACTCTTTGTTGTCCAAACATCAATTCAATAAAATCCTCTTTGATAAGGAATGCTGACACGTCAAAACCAGTTTCCTCCAAAACCTGCATTCTCAATGAAAAATAAATCCCATGGACAAGTGGCGAAGTAAAGAATTGTTTTGGTACAAATATAAGCAATTCAGTAATTTAAGCTAAAACCCCGAAGCAATTAAACCTCTTCAATACTCCTTTTTGCTTAGCACAAATCATACCAGATGGCAAATAACTGGTTCACGTCCACAAAACTTTAATCAACGGAAGCTTTATGTCATTGTAGGTTCCATTACCACTAAGGGCCTAGGAGGTATCGAGGCGTTATTTCATCCTTCTTTCCATGATAGCAAAGCAGCTTGTTGGTGGGCTGTTTTCATTGCGTTCTTGGAACATTTGGCTCAAGAGAAATAGGAGAATTTTTAGAGGTGCAAAGAATCATGGGTGAAGGGGCTAGGTTCAATGCTTCCCTTTGAGTTTCTTTAACTAAATCTTTTAATATTTTTCCTTTTTCTCTCACTCTTTATCAACTAGAGCCCTTTGCTGTAATAATTTTGTATTAGCTAGCCTTTTTTTTCAAGCTTTTGTTGTCTTGGACTTTCCTTTTCTTTTTTTCTTTTTGTATTATATCATTTTTCTCAAATAAAGCAGGCATTTTCATTAATAATAATAAAAAAAAGGGACACTGAAAAGAATTTTTAAGTAGCGTCATGAGAGTCCCAAAAAGAAAGAGAAATATTACTTCTCTAATGGCACAAGCATGGTCTTCTTCATCCTTGCTCTTTTTGCCACGAGGAAAACTCCAGCTTGACCCTTTCCATCCCTTTACTAGTAAGCACTGTTTGGTTGCAGAAAAGGAAGCACGAACATGGGAAGTGTACAAAACAAAATAATTCAATCAATTAATACAAATAAATCAATAACAGTATTAATAAAAGAAATTTGCAAATCAACACTCACCCTCTCAAAGGTTTCATCTAAAATAATGGCCCCGGTGACAGGAACTCGAAGCTTATAGGAAGTGAAGTCCTTAAATATGTCATCTATGTGGGGCACATATGGTTTCAAAACATCACAGCTGTTAAATACTGCAGAAAATTAAGGAATACAAGTATATCCAGAAAAAACAGTATAGAATTAGATTATGGTTATACCTTGGCATCATCTTAATTTTTAAATTAAGACATCCGCCTTTGCATGTAGTAAAAATATTTAAACTTCACCACAAGAAGCTTAATTAATTTAAAAAATTTACAAAACTATATCATGTATGTATAAAAGAAAATAATAACGTGACAAAGGTCCCCAGGGCTGTGGAAGTCATGGATTTAGAACTCAGACTCAACCAAGCCATAACCGTCTCAAAAGATGAGTATGAGATATGTCACAAAGAAAACCAAAAAATTGGGTGATTCGACCTGACTCGGACTGTATCATCCATGAGTTGGCATCTCAAGATGTATCAACAATGACTGACATTAGTAATATCAAGTTGTTCAGTTTGGTAGTTGATAATGAAGAATGACCGTAATGTATATATATCTTCGTAAAATATTGAATGAGAGTCACTTTTCGTGTGTAATTTACCCTTTATCATATGTAAACTTAACAACTTATGATACTAGGCTTTTTTTAATTGCTAGTGAGTAAACCTCATACTAAATTGCAAACTCACGACTTTGTTGTTTTATTTTACAATAGAAACATAATATACTTATTCAAAAGGAAGAAGGAATTTTCATTTATTAAACATAGAATGGAAATTTTAAAACATCCAAACACATTATAAGGACAACGGATCATATAATGCCATTGCCAAGGATACATAACGAAGTGAACTCCTTCAAATTAAATGACTTCAGTGAAGGATTATTTTCTACTGAGTTGTCTTCATAGAACCAATGTGCATATTCAACTAGAAACAGAATCCTCTCGAATGATTGTAGATCTTCCTTTGGCACATTTAACACAAATCGGCTGCATATCGAGAAAAAGTGATAGATTGATGAGAACGTTGGAGCTATAACATTGCAATAGGCAAAATAATCCAAAAGAAAAATGCTCATAAATCTTAAGAAAATACTCGAAACAATTCTTTCCTCCAAAATGGCTGATGCTGTTTCGGTTGCATGGAGGAAATTCTTTTTGCATTCTATCTATCCATTTCGACCAATATCTTATATATCATATTTCAATAATACAAACACTAGTAAAAAGGAAATTATTAAGTTTATGTCAGATATCCATCTTCCTAATTGTCTCTCTAAGTGGTTTGTGATTTAGTATCTCGTTTGTTTTTGCAAAAGAAAATAAATGCTCACCCTCATATTAAGGCCATCAGAACTGACAAACTAAACTAATATAGCATCTTAAACCAATAAAAATATCTAACTGAATCCCCATTTACTACAATATATTTTTCATAATCAATAAGAACAGTTGCCAACTAACTAAACTGACAATTCACTCATTTTAATGAAGATATGTCGGCAAAGTACGTTCAACGACAAAACCAAGCGACTTTTAGAATAATTCTTATGGCCCGTTCATGGCGCTATGTTTACCATCGTGCTTCGTTTTGCAAAAAGCAAAATACGACATTCAGTCGGCGGAAGCAATAAATGAAAAAAAAATGTGAAAGAGAATGAAAATAAACAAGCTCATAGCAATTTCCACTTAAAAACCCTAAGATCTCCACACCTAACGAACACAGAACTCGTAGCAAAACCAGTAAATCGAATAGAGAGAGAGTGCGGAGAAGACCTGCAAAGATCGTCGAGGAGTTCTTGGGGAGGGAGACCGTTCTTCACCGGAGCAATTGAGGGCTGATGGAGGCCGGCCATGGCTTCCTAATATGACGGAGATCGCCCAAAAGAACCTACTGTTTGTGTTTACTCTGCTCGTGTTTTACCTGGAGAACTGTTTCAGTTCGTCTCGCCAAGTCGAAAGATATGTCGAGTACTAAGCCGACATGTCGTTACGTCTCTGCGTCACGTCGTGTCGCCTTTGGACTGTGAGATCTCTGTAGTGGCCGATGAATCGGATCGAATAATAGTTGGCCCAATTTATGCCAGCGGGCCGGGCGGAATGTTTGTTTTCCGTTCAAAGTTGATTTTTATTGTTCCTATATTGCCCTCCTTAAATTTCTCTTCTCTATATTTATTATTCGACTTTTTCTTTTTATTTATTTAAGATGGTTAATGGAGTCACTTGTGAAGGATCTGATTTTTTAAAATTAAATTTATATATGATTCTGATTAATATGGGAAATTCAATACTTTCTTATTTTCACTGTTGCATTTAAAGAAATATGATAAATTTGAAGTGTGGATGATTTGCACAGATTATCGATTGTCTATAAACATGTGAGAGCTTATTTTCAATGAAAATGAAATCAAGCAATTTTTTGAAATATAAATGGCCTAAAATTTTAAAACATTTAAGTAATTTATTAATTTAAGTATTTGTTGGTATATTGTTTATTGTTTTGGTTCACTTGATTAAGATATATATTATCGATCAAAATGTAACAAGAAACCACATCTTATATGCAGTTGAATTTTAAAAAAAATTACTAATAAAACTACAGATGTCTAATATTGGTCGACCATAAATATTTTTATGCTACTAAAAAAAACATTGATGAACTTGGGTTCTATTTTGTCTCTTAATTTAAAAATTTATTATTTTATTGTCTATGAGATTTAAATTCAGTTTCAACGAACGTTGGAGTTTCAAAAGTGGCATATTTAGTCGCTGGAATTTGAATTTAACTTTTAATTGGCTCGTGAAGTTTGAATTTAATTTTAATTGGCTCGTGAAGTTTTAATTTAATCTTTAATTGGTCAATGAAATTTTAATCTATGTTTAATCGGTCATTGAGTTGAATTGACTGACTTACCATAATTGATGTAGTGGTTGCCAAACATACATTATTTAGTACAACATTTTGGGATTGAAGATCGAACTCACAACCTATTGATTTGAGATATATACAAATAATCGTTGAGCTATGCTCGTTTTGACAACTATACTATATATATTTTTTAAATTGGTAGATTTATTACTTTTTATTATTTTTGTCTCTTTATATTCATCCATCCATCTCATTTTACCCAGTTCCAATAGTACAATGTCCCTTCATCATCGTTCCATCTACTTATTGTTAATAAAAGTAACTAGATTCTAATTTAAAATGCAAATCAGTAAATTTCTCGATATTCAATCAATATTCAACCATATTTTTCAATGTTCATATTATGTAATTTGAGAAACTCCAATTGTCTAATACAACATACGTTAAACGGATCTACAACCTCGTATACCAATTAAAAACTAATCAAACAAACATAACCAAATAAAAGTTAAATTTAAACCTGAAGAACAAAAATGAATGGTTTTCCTTGGTACAATCCAACCATAACTATCTTAGTCGGGACTTGCTAAAATCAACGGACTTAAGTTTGCCCAAAGTAACCTCACGGTTGTTTAAATGATGAGATAAAATAAAAACCAAGCCCCAACCTAGAAGGGTATGA